AAAGACTGTCTGTGTCACATTTAAATGCCCTGCATTCTCTTTCTTACTTTTTGGGACAACAGCATCCAGGGGGTAAAATGATGGCAAAACGTAAAATCTAAGGGCAGAGAAATGTAGCATATTCAATTGTTATTGAATGACTGGGTGAATAAATATTCATAGAAAATTGGCATGTCTAATAAAAGGAAAACATTTTCAAGAAAAGTTTCCCATTAAAACTACAGAAATCTGAATTGTCCTATGTGCTTTATTACTAATAACACCATTGATTATTAAAACATAATACTTGTGGACACAGTGGGGAAAAGAGAAGATAGGACAAACTGAGAGAATAGCATTGAAACATACGCATCACCATGTGTAAAATAGATAGCTAGTGGGAAGCTGCTATGTAACAGGATGCCAGTCTGGCACTCTGTCACTCTGACAACCTAGAGAGGTGGATAGGAGTAGAGAAGTGAGGGAGGCTCAGAAAGGAGGGGATATTTATATGTGTATATGTGTATATATACACACCCTTGCTGCTGATTTGCGTTGCATGGCAGAAACCAGCACAACTTTGTAAAGCAATTATCCTCCAGTTGAAAATAAAAAGATACATTTAGGGGGCCATTTAATTTTATTAGGCAAAGAAAAAATTACTGTATACCCTGTATAACATATTTTTACCCGAATAGCTTAAAAATTAAAATATTCCACTTACACTGAAATCAGTTTATGTACTCAACAGATTTGAGCCAAATTGATCATGTTTCACTTCAAGAAATACTTATAAATAATTTTAATTCCATAGGACAGATCCATTAATTATGCTTTCAGAGGAGATATAATTAATGGATTTGCACTATAGAATGAAGGCCTTTGGTAAATATTAATAATGCAAATTCACTCTACCAAACACCTTAAGAGTACCCAAACAAATAGATCATCTTACATGGCTGAAGCTTTCCTTCCACATCCCGTGTGGAACATGAAAGCATTCAAAATAATTTAGCATCAGCTTTTTGGTGAGATCTTCATAGAAAATGAAAGATTATTTGGTGAAGAGGTTATGCATCCCAATAAAATTGTCTGTCACAATTTATTTTTATGAAAGAACAGCCTTGATGAAATATAATGACAGAACATGTATTATAATCTTGAAAAGCCTGATTATATTGCTAATGAAGAATATTTTAAATAATTTTTTTTAAATTTCAAAATAATTTCAGATGAGTAGAAAAGCTCATCTGAAGAAAACCTCTTCAGATGAGAGTAGAGAACTCTCAGGTACCCCTCATCCAGTGTTTCCTATTGCCGTCATTCTCCCTTAGAAGAGTCTCTTTATCACAACAGAGAACCAATATTGATACATCACTGTTAACTAAATTCTGTATTTCTTCAGCTGTCACCAGTTTTCCCTAATGTCCTTTTTGCTGTTTGAGAGTTTAATCCAAGCTGCTTCCTTGCATTTAGTCATCGAGTCTCCATAGCAACATAATCTGTAATAGTTCTTAATCTTTCCTTGACCGTGGTAACCTTGACTCTGGTCAGATTTTTGCAGAATATTTCTCAGTTTGAGTTTGTACAGTGTTTTTCTGATGGTTAGACTGATATCATTGGAGAGGAAGACGGCAGAGGTAAAGTACTCCTCGGGAAGATCCCCTGGAGAAGGAAATGGCAACCCGCTCCAGTGTTCTTGCCTGGAAAATCCCAACTGTGTAAAAAGAAAGAATAGTATATTTCAAAGCTATTACAATGAATTCATATTTGTATTTTTCAATAGTAGATAGAATAGTAGAATCTAAGAGAAGATGTAATGTTCAAGTTTCAACATTTTTTTTTCTGATTTAGTAAGTACTAATGCTGTCCCTTCTTTACTTTCACTGTTTCTTTGGTGACAGTATATTGAGTGCCAAAGCCCTCAAATGTATACTTTGGCCATGGACAGTTGAGCCCTGACAGTTGAGTGTGATTACATTTATAATCAAACATTTTAAACATTACTTATAATAGTGAATGGACTTCCCAGATGGCACATTAGTAAAGAATCCACCTGCCAGTACAGGAGACGCAAGGATGCAGGTTCGATCCCTGGGTCAGGAAGATTCACTGGAGTAGGAAATGGCAACCCCCTCCAGTATTTGTGCCTGAAAACTTCCATGGACAGAGGAGCTTGGTGGGCTACAGTCCATGGGCTGACCAAGAGCAGGACATGACTGAGTGACTAAGCACACCTGCACGTAAAAATACTTGTTAATACTATGGGATTTTTCCAAATTGTGATCTAAAATTTAGCCTGGAAAAACTGTTATTAACAAAAATAATTCCTTTGTTGCTCATTATTATTGGGAAAAGACTGCCTATTGTGATTTACAAATGCTATTCACTTTCTCATTTTTTAAAAATTAAGTGTGACTTTGTATAGTTTTTTTTCCCCCAACAGTAACTTCTAGTAAGTCTGGCATCAGTATTGATAGAGTAAGTACTAGATTGGTAGTCAAGAGTTGTTACCAGGATATATTGAAACTGAGGATTTAAAACATCAAATGTAACTTGAGAGTACTTTATTAATTTGTATTTAGATATAGAGTTACATTGGTATTGCTGTCATTGAATGAAAGGGTATATTAATTAAAATATGAGGTATGGATAAGAGATATCTGAAGGATTTACTACAGTATTTTATCTAAAGGATGAATAGATTGGAATGCCACCTATATTACAGATCACTGAAACACAAATGGGAAAGCAAACTGAAATTGAAGATATTTTTATCTTATCTTTTGCTGTGTGTTTCTCAACTTGATAATTAAGTGCAGTTTATTAGATGCTGTCATATAAGATTGATGTGCTTTTAAAACACATTTTCCTCAAGATTTCCTGAGAGTAATAGAATTAAAGTGTCACACTGTAAGATGAATTTGAAAGTTAAAGCTAAAACAAAGTTTTCTCTAAGAATGACATTCAAATAATCAAGGTTACATGATGCACATTTTAGAGTCTGCTTTCCGTAGTACTTAGAATGACACATTTATTTCTGGGAAGTTGTGGGAGACTTTAACCCTAAAAGAAGTTAAACATGAAGCTTTATTTTCAGCTCTTCTTACAGAAGTTAAAAAACGCTTCATCTGATCCAGGCTTTCAGATTTTCAGAGCTGAATGTCTTCTCTGTCTCCTGAATACCTGATTTTTAAAGACATAATACTTTCTTATGCTATGTAAAATATCAGTACTGTTAGGAAAATAGCAGATAATTCAACTACATATGAACTGTGTTCTATCACTTGCTTAATTTTTCATGAAAAAGCTAATGATAGAGAAACAGCTCGAATTTTGTTTTTCTGTTTCTGCAAAAATGTTTCACTCATTTCTTATGTTAGAATTCTGCAGTAAGTTCATTCCTAATAAACCTCTTTGTTTCTCCATTACATCATATGATCAAATAGTGGAAGTCATCAGTCCAGAATATTTCCTGATTTTGTGCTAATAAAGGACCAAGAAGCTCTGAATATATTTAGAAATTAGTAACTAACTCACCTCAGTTATCTGGTGCATGTATTTTCCTGTTTCCTTTAGTAGATTGTTGTTCAGTTTTTATCTAATTTCCTCCTTTAGACTCTGTAACTCAATGTTCAGGCTTATGTCAATTTCTAAAGAAAGTACATGTTATGTAAAAAAAAATATACTGAGTATCTTGGTTCTTATCTTTAGAGTTCATATCCATTTTTTTTCTGGACTTGATTGTCAGAGGTAACCCTACTTTAATGAATATTTAGTGTTTAAGTTTATTGTATACCTGAGTCAAATGAATTGAAAATGATCTTTGAATAAAAGAGCATCTGCATCATCTATTCTTTGTGTTCTTTTGTTGGAATTTGTCAGCCAAACTTGTCTACTTGTTCCCTTATCTCAAGGTTAATCATGTTTTGTTTTAATCTTTACTGTAAGTTTTTTCTCTATTTGTGTTTAGAAATGGAGCTAAAAAAATGTAGGTGTGCATTTTTTCCCCAGTGTTTTGTTTGCTTATCTACTTCAATGAAATAATTCCTCTGAGAGAATGAGTTAAAAGCATAGTAAAATAACTTCTGTTCCTACCTATTATCAGTATCTTTTTATTGCTTTTAGGAAAAATGATGATAAGCCTCTAATCCAGAAGTTTTAATTGATTGCATTTTTTTTGAAAGACTAGAAGAACAGCATTAGCAACATTCCAATAATTTTCTAATATTTGTGTAAATCTTGTCCTTAAAGTTTGTTTAGTTAAATATAAGAAGGTTTGTCAAGAGCTATGGATATGGGAATTTAAAAAATTTCATATTTCTTCATTTTATAGTTGTAAATTAATGGCAGATGTGTTTTTCATGATAAATTAAAAACTGGATATGATTATTTAAATATCCATAAAAGGAAAATAAAATGACACCTATTTGAAAATCAGCCTGAAAGGTGCTGAAATAGCACCATAGTGAACCATTATAGGTATAGGTTAACAATCAAAAAAATGTAAGAATATAAGTTAAGTGTAATACTGGATACCATCCTAACATAAAATATGATTTTCATATTTAATAAAATACACTTGAAATGCAAATTGAAAAGTGATCATTTGATTAACTTCTTAGATAACCATTTCTAAATAAAAAAACTTTCATTTTACAATAATAATTTGAAGTTTTCAACGACCAATTTTACTTTACTAGCTGAGCTGCTTCCCTGGTGGCTCATATGGTAAAAAAAATCCATCTGCAATGCGGGAGACCTGGTTTCAATACCTGGGTTGGGAAGATCCCCTGGAAGAGGGCATGGCAACCCACTCCAGTATTTTTGCCTGGAGAATCCCCATGGACAGAGGAGCCTGGTGGGCTACAGTCCATGGAGATGCAGAATCAGACATGACTGAGCAACTAAGCACATTTTTACTTGTTTTTTATTTTAATAAGAAGAGTTAGGTTATAAATTAGGACTAATAAAAATGACTATAAAAATAACTCTTCAATTTAATTTTGTTTTTCTTATAGAGTGCAGATATGAGCCCAGCAAGTAGCACCACTTCACTTCCAGTTAGTCCTCTTGCTGAAGAGCCTTTGCCTTTCAAGGTAAAAATAATTTTTAAATGTTTTAAAAGTTGTTCACAATATTTTTAGGATCTTTACAATGTATTTATTATGCTGTGTAAAGTAGGTAGTTCAGGCATAGGTGGTGAGATTAACTGCTTTAACTTGTAAGGATCTTGTTTCAGATGTTAAAATTTTGTTGTTTGTTGTCATTCTAGTTTCTAAATAAAGGTAGATTTTCCATAGAAATTGATATTTTATATAGCACTTTGTCTTAAATGTAAGAGACAGGGATTTCATTATAATACTTTGATGTCACATGAATTATAGGTTTCAAATCTTTTATTTATATAAAGCAATAAGTTTGGAATGAACTATTCAGCACTCATCCAGTGGTTAAACTTTCATTAGCTGGTTAAATTTTCATTGATGACTTAGGTCATAATATATTAATTGTGTATTCTTTAAAGACTAATGGTGAAATCAAAAATTAAAATATATAATCATTCCTCTAAACATTGCATTTTAAAGATAATTAATGCTAAATATGATTAGAGATTTCTTCAGTTTGGGAGTCTATATACATTAAAAATATAAAGTCATCTTCTTGTTTTGCTATTTAAGATTGTTTCTCTATAAGCCAAAGCTTGTAAATCAGCTGTTTTAGATGTTTACTACAGATATTTGGATTTCTTTAGGATTATTGTAATTAGAGGCACTCTTTAAGATCTTGGGAAATTAAAAAAAAAAACTTGAAAAGTTGGGATGATACTCTTAGGTGCAGTTGTTTTAGTTTGGCTTAAAGACAAATCATCATACTTTTGAGGATTTATTATGATTTGTATTTTATCATTAACTTCTCATTGCTTTTCATATGAAGACAAAATCTTATTTGACTTAATATTGCTCACATCTCATACAGTGACTGACATGGATTTCCAAATAAAGTACTCAATATTTGCTGTTTTGTCAAAGTGAAATTAATAGGTTATAAATTCCGTTATAAGTCTTTGGTTTTCTAATTATAAATGCTTTGTTGTTTGATGGTAGATAATATAATTGTTAAAAATTGTTATATCAGAGAATTGTTAAATAATGAATCGTGTTCTGATTGTATCACTTATTGAGAATTATTTTTCCATTTTACAACAAAAGGAGAAAATACTACTAATGTTTCAAAGTTTATTATTCCTTAATATTTTGTCTTATGGTTATGGGACAAACTTTACAGAAGAATTATATTTTTAGCAGGTTTTTAATTGAATTCTCAAAGTGTCACTAGAAACCATTTTCTGTTTTTAATATATTGATAATGACTGCCCTCCTTGAAAATTAATGTATTTTTAATAGAAGTAAAAGGAAAGGTCAGCTATATTCCAAAATGTGCTGACATAAAGCTAATATAAATATAATTATTTTAGTTAGTTTCACTGACTGGTTCTAAGAGATCAATATTTTTCTCATGTTAATGTGTATAAGTGGTTTTATATGCAATTAAAGTTTCAAAGTGCTTGTGATATATAATGCTGGCTTTTGGTAACCAATATAATTACAGTACCACTGAATTCACTTCTTCTGTGAAAGAAATATTATTTATATTTTTAAAAGAATTTTATCAGACCTAAAAACATTCCACTGGTATTTAAAAAATATTTAAAAGTAATGTTTCAAATTATAAAACTCCTGTATATGCTTTTTAAAATTTTTATCTTATAAATTATTGTCATATAAATGAATAATGGAATTCTTATGGATCCTTGTTTAAACACAAAATATACAGAAATTATTTTGAGATATACTTTAGTAGCATAGTACATTTTAATTGCAAACAAAATTTGTTGAAAACTAAAAACAGAAGACATTGAACTCTTCTGACAACTATACCCGAAACAATTCTGTTATTGTATTTAATTTGTGTTGAAAACTTTATTTAAGCTTTTGATATTTGATCTTTGATCAACATGGTAACTAAGAAAAAAAGGTTATTATAGCTTTTTATTCCCCAGGAATAAAATGATACTAATCATCTTTAATCTTTTAGTTTTCTAAGACAGTGATTTTATCACCCAACTCCATAACCATCTGCCTTGATGTTAGACCAGCAAGGCTTTTGAAAGCTTTGGTGGCTGGTTGAGAGACTTAAATTATACCTTATCTCCAGGGATCTTCTTGACCGAGGGTTCAAACCCAGGTATCCTACATTGCAGGTGGAATCTCTACCATCTTAGCCACCAGGGGAGTCCCAGTTTATCTCCTAAGAAGTAATTAGGTTAATAAAAGAAAGGATTCCATCCCTTTTCTTGTTCTATTTTGGAAGCACTCATACAACAGTTGGAGGAAGAAACTGTTTGAGCTTAAGTGTTTATCAGGGTAAATACTTTCTTTTGAGTACTATCTTTAGAATGACATTCAGATTAAATTGATTTTAACCCTACCATTTGACATAATGACAAATGGTATGTCACATATTTTACAAATCCCTAATAATTGCCTTCCCACTAATATCTCTACCTGTGTTATTGAGATGAATGTCAGATGAGAAGCTGGCTATCAATAGGAAGGTACCACAGTAAGATCTATTAGATTAAAGGTAGTAGAAAACTGGTAGCATCCTGGAGTTTCCCAAGGAGTCAAGAGAGGTAAATTATCTCCTTTGGAGATACAGCAATCAAAGATGACAATTAAATTTTGTTTGAGATCAGATGCTTCTTTCCCATAATAAAACTGTATTTTTCAGCACTCATTAGTGTTGGAGTACATGCTTCAATTTAATTTTCAAACAAAAACAGATCTGCTCTGAAAAACAGTGCAAGCTCTTATATACTTATGACTCTTCCCCGTACAGAACAATTCACCTCACGCTAAACTTCTTGTGCTTACTATTTAAAACCCATTGCTATAGTGTTTTGTTTGGCCTAGTCTTTCAGAAATTAGGAAAGGTTTTGCAAACATTCATCTATCTTCTCTTAATCACTTGCAAGATCTGGGAGCTCTGTGCCTCTTTTTTTTCCCCCCAGATAGAACTGATTGATCAAAGATAAGTAGGGTTTCTCCAGGTGGACAAGGCACATGGATTCCAGTTCACCGCAGTCAACATTCCCTCTTCACATCTGGCCATGGAAGCATTTGAGTGAATCCCTTTATAGAAACAGATGTATCATTCACAAGCCTCCATGTATACCACAAGTAATAAACTCACAGATTTCCCATTTTGACTCTTGGTTCTGAGACATTTCTAGGAGTCTAGGTTTTTATAATTGGGCATACTACTCTTACTGACATACATTTGGAAACAAAGGACAAATGTTTAACCTCATTTTTAATAGTGTTATTCATCATTACATAAAACATATACATTTGTGGTGTGACACATGCCACTATATTGTTGTGGAAAGGCCAAGGGATAATCAATTTCACATGGGTGGGGATAATATTTTAACAAATAACAATAATAGAATCATAATAGTGCAAGATAATTAAGTGGGACTTGATATGCGGAAAAAGGGAGTAGACTGCTTAACTGTTAATTAAAAGTTTTATGTTTTTGTGCAAAATAGCCAAGCTGACACTGCTAACTGTAATGTACCCATGTACCTATCCTGCCTGTTTCCTCTGCCATTCTCCCTGATTTCCCTGATCTGCCTCCTCTCTTCCTATGTTGGCCTCAGTCAGAGACACCACCCCCAAAATGCCTTGGGGTCACCAAATATTGCTGTTCTTTAGTAGGGTGACACTGTTGACTTACTTGTATATGCACAGCTATTAACAGGTTCAATCCATTCCTGAAACTAATCTTCTTGAAGCTGCATGTGTGCTGATTTGCTTCAGTCATGTCCAACTCTTCGAAATTCCAGGAACTGTAGCCTGCCAGGCTCCTCTGTCTGTGAGATTCTTCAGGCAAGAATACCAGAGTGGGTTGCCATTTCCTACTTCAAGGGATCTTCCCAACCCAGGGATTGAAGCCACATCTCTTCTGTCTCCTGCATTGGCAAGCAGATTCCTTATCACTGTGCCGCCTGGTGACCCCTCCATTAGTAGTACACTTGATCATGGGCCAGGTTCTTTTTGCCAATCACTTTCATCACATTTTTGTTGTTGTTGTTGTTCTCACAGATCTTGCTTATTTGTTTATTTATTTATGGCTGCGCTAGATCTTCATTGCTGCATGCAGACTTTCTCTCATTGCAGTATATGGCCTTCTCATTGCAGTGGCGTCTCTTGTTTCAGCACGTAGGCTGTAGGGCCTGTGAGACTCAGTGGCTGTGACACATGGACCTAGGAGTTGCAGCTCCTGGTGTCTAGAGTGTGGGCTCCATGGTTGTGATGCATGGACTCAGCTACCCAGCGGCATGTGGAGTCTTCCTGGACCAGGGATCAAACCCGCACCCCCTCCTTTGACAGGTAGACTCCCAGCCACTGGACCACAAGGGAGTTTCATCACATATTTTTAAATTTATTTCTTCTTCAATAAGGCCTGCTTTATACATTTTAATGCCTTTTAATCCAGAAAACATCTTTTCTTTGATTAGATGAATTAGAAACAGGTATAATTATCTTCCCTTATCCTCTCATCCTTATCCTGTAGTCAACAGGAAAGGAACACATTCAACTCACCTTCTATTAGATGTTGTTTCAAAAGTGTACCAAGAATATCCTCCATGCACCACTTTCAAAGTCTGAAAACAAGAATAAACCATTGCTTTCTTGGCCCATTGACTGCTGCTTCTCTGTGATACTGCATTCCTGGCATGTGTAAAGTTGTTGGTTATCCAGTGCCTAGAATCCACAGTGGAACCAGCCTCCTTGAAGTCTAACCATAGTTCCCGGTAACTGACACAGAATGGAACTGATGTTTTACCTGGGTGTCCTCTGCTACAGAAATCCAAGGTTCTCTGACTGCTTTTCTTCATCCCCAGAAATCACAATTTAATCTAGACTAGAGAAGCTTTCTCTCTTCCTAATTCCCTTAGTTATCCCTCTTTCCTCCAACCAGCAAGAGCACTGGAAACATCTCTTCCATGTACTTTTTTTGTTATTGTTTA